CACTCTCTCCTCTTTCTTCATTGACTCCAATCAGTCTTATGTTATTCTTCTTTGCATTGTCTAGCAGCTGCTGGATTGATTTCTTGTGTTCCATTACAATTTTAAAGCAAATTTTCTTTTTCCTCCTCACTAATTGCAATCTTATCTTCTATATGTGAAATTCTATCCTCACATTGGTTCATTCTGCTGTGCAGACTTTCAATGGACCTGTTATTCTTCTTTGCATCGTCTAGCAGCTGCTGGATTGATTTCTCATGTTCCCTTACAATTTTAAAGCAATTTTTCTTTTTCCTCCTCACTAATTGCAATCTTATCTTCTGTATGTGAAATTCTATCCTCACATTGGTTCATTCTGCTGCGCAGACTTTCAATGGACTTTTTAATCTCTTGGAAATCTATTTGTATCTGTTTTCTGGATTCCATTTGTTTCCTATGTTGGGATTCCGTCATGTTCCTCAGATCCTCTATTTTTTTTTTAATCTGTGTCCTCTCTAGATTTATTAATCATGTCTTGCACCATGAGCACAATCTTTGCTGTTATCTGAGTAATTATTTCTGATTTCATTTTCCCCAGATCCTCTTTTGTTGCCAGTTCAGAGAGTCCAGGTGGTTGAGTATCAGATTGTTCCATCTCGTTTCCTTTGGGGTTGCTGTAGGTGATCTGGAAGTCTGTTTTTGAGGCTTGTTTATGTGTTTTCTCATTTCCACGAGGCCGGAGGGGAAGCTTCTGGCACCCACATGGCTCACCTTCTCTGCCCTAGGAGCCTGGGTTGGCAGCAGGGGGGCAGGGCTGGTTTTATGACAGAAGTTGAGCTGGGTGGAGGTTAAGGGACCTTTAGGATCCTGAGATGCTTCACAGTGTCATTTCTAGGTCTAGTCTTCACTTCTTGCTTTTGGTGAAAAAAAAAAGATCTTTGTACCAAAGAACACAGCATGGGCTCTGTGGGCTCTGTGAGTGGGCCTCACTGACTCAGTAAGGCTGAAGTGAGGGGCACTCTTCCCTCTGCATCCCCAAATCCCTGGCCTGGAGAGAGGAGGGTCTCCTACCCTTGGTGAGAATGGGTGCATCTGCCAGCTGCGGGCCTGGGGTACCTATGGTCCCTAGGTGGGAGCACTTGCCAGGGGAAGGAGGGGACATGGTGCCATCTGTGGTACCTGGAGGTGTAGAGGTGATGATATTGACATCTGTGTCCTGTTAGGCTGGGGTCCCCCGTGGAGGGAACCATGGGTACTCTCTTTGTTGGGTGTGACTTGGGAATAGCAACAATCACTATTGGTCCTGCACTCCTAACTCCCAAGTCCTCCCATGTGACAACAGAGAAGACCAGTGACACCCCTGGACTTCTCTATTCTCAGGAATAGTATCTGTGTCTAAGTGCAGATGACTGTACCAGGACAAGTGGCAGCCTGGCTTGTGATTGACGGCCTATAAGGAGCAACTCATGTAGTGACAGCTGAAAAAGGCCTGCTTGGTGATAGCATTTGCTACTCATACAGTCCCCCAACAGGTCTACAACAATTTGCTGGTTGGAGAAGATGGGTCCTCCAGGTCATGTCATGGGGTAGGGAGAAGTGATGTCCCCCCAGGACCCCATGCACAGTGTGTATTGGCTTCCTGGCTCTGAAAAGTATCAGCTTCCAAGGAGCCTGGAAGGAGGTAGTTGAGGCAAAAGAGCCAGGGGCCTGAAGTCAACAGCAGGCTTCATTCAATCATAGCTCTGTCGTCTGCTAGCAGCCAGGCTCTGGCCCAGAGCCTCTGCCCCTAGGGGCCTGAGTTTCCCTACCTGTCAAATGGGAGCTGAGCTGGGTAACCTCCAGCGGGCTGTGTGCCCTCCTGTGCAGTGAGGCGAGGAGGAGCATTGAGTGTGTGCTCCTGAGGGCCAGAAGAGCCCACCAGGCCAAGCTGTGTGCCTGCTCCCTGCTCTGGGCCGCTTGGTTTCAAACACTGATTGCTTATTCCTGCCCAGAATCTTGGCCCCTTTGCTCTTTCCCCTTGACCCCATCCATCTTCACCACAGCAGCGGTTTCCCCACCCCAGGCAGCACTTTAGCCATCCAGGGAGGCTTCAAAACCCTGATTAGCCTGGGATGGGGCCTGAATGCTTGTAGTTTTTAGAGGCTCCTGGGTGTTTTCTAAAGCACACAGCCAGGGATGAGACCCACTGACCCAGATGTTGGTTGCCCCGGGGAAAGGGAAGAGCTTGAGGACAGGAGTGAAAACAGCTTCCTCTGTCCCTGCCTCTCCTCCTTGTCCTTGCCAAGTCCACACTACAGCAGTGACCACAGCATACCGCAGTCATCTGGCTGTGGACCTGAGGGGCTCCATGAGGGCTTCCGGGCAGGGGCTCACTGTCCTGTCGCTCCTGGTTCGATGGAAAGAATTAGCACAGCCCATTCTTCCCATGTACCCCCAGTGCCTGAGGGCACCTGCGCCCCAGTGGAGGTCTTAGCGTTGCTGGCAGGGCTGCTCACCCACCTGGGTGTGTGGAAAGCCTGGAGGATGGAGGATACGAGGAGGGAGGAGTTCTGCCCCCTCATCCTCCTGTTGGCGTGTGGTTCCTCGGCAACCGCCCAGCCTGACACCAGATTGGAGTTCACATGATTCTGCCTCAGCTCAGGAATAGGCGGCCCCCGGCTGGGGATTTTCTAGTTGGTAGCGCTGGGAGGTTCGGGCTGCGGGAAATCTCGGGAGGGAGAGCTTGTCCTGGCTGCAGGGCCACCCAGGCTCTGCGGAGCTGCTGCAGGATCCTGGCTGCTGGAGGGTGCAGGGGAGAGCCCAGCTGGGCTGGCAGGGGCAGAGCAGTCTTGGCCCAGATACCCCACCGGAGGACTCCATCCTGATTCCAAGAGCTACCAAGGCTGGGGCTTCACTGCCTTCTTTCTCCTGCTCCCTACCTGGCTGTAGAGACCACACTGCCTTCCTGGGACTTGGAGGGTCTGGGGGAACCCAGGCAACATAGTCAGGGGACCACCTTGCTGTGTTTAAGCAGACTGATTTGTGGGTCAGAAAATTCATTTAGTAGCTCATGAGCTGCATCTAAAAAATGAAATAGAACAGAAAATACCGAGGTAAGTACGGCTCGGGGGAAGTTTGTTTCTCTGTGCATATACGTGTGTGGATTTGGCTGTGTGGGCTGGTCCCAGTGAAAAGTGTATTTCTTGCTATGGTTTGTGGTCAAAAAAAGTTTCAAGGCAGCAGGTTGGTGCTTGAGTTCCTGGGTTCTGGATTCAGATCCACCCTGACTTTCTGTGTGGGCTTGAGCAACTGATTTAGCCTCTCTGGCCTTTAGGTTCTGTGAAATGGGTTGGCAGTGCCAGCCCCAAATGACTCTGGGACTGTGTGGGCTCAGAGGGGACTGAACTTTGAAACTGCTACACAGGCTTGAGAAGTGAGACTCTACTGTCCATCTGTTGTGGGAACAGGGCCATTTGAGGGAAAGATGGGAACTGAAGAAAAATGCACTCTGATTTCTACATTTTCCTCAGAGGGAAATAGCCTCTTTTTGGAAAGCTTGTGTGAAGTGTGGAGGGCTGGCCAGCTCCAGGGGACGGAAGCTAGGCTGGCAGGAAACTCCACAGCTCTGTGGGCTGGGCCCCCACAGCAGCACCCGACATATGAGTAACTGTGTGTGCCTGAATGCCCCACACTGAAGAAGTAGTGACGAATGAGATTACTGTTTATGTGCCAGCTGAAAGCCAGCATGCAGGCTCCTCCACCCCTGACTCGGAACCTGTAAGAGACCACTCGCTCCTCTCAAAGGGGTGTTACCTTCCTGTTGGGGGCTTAATTTCCCCTGGTCATTAGAATCCATGAAGCCCTCTACGCTGATTAGCATTTGTCTAAAAGATGTGCTTCTAAGCATTGAGTCACTTTGTGTGTAGTATCTTTTCAGTTTCTTTGCTGGATGATAAAATTGATGTTGCAATTCCTTCCTGTAGTGCCCTTCGCCTTGGGAGACTGTGGACTGGGCACACAGGTTTTCTTCCTCAGTGGGTGTTGAAGGAATAGTTGGCCCAGTAGAGCATCCTCTGGGTGCAGGGGACCAGCCCAGGATGCAGCCTGCTGACTCCTGAAGTGGCTTCTCTGAGGCTTGGAGTTTGGCTGAGCCTGGAGGTTGAGGGCGGTTGCTCAGAGGTGAGCCTGATAAACAGCGAAAGAGGGAGGTATAAAGGAAAGTGTGGGCCAGTTGGAGTTCAAAACCTGGCCTGCCTCATCCCAGCTGTAGAATCTTGTGCTTCATCTCTGGGAGCCTCAGGTCTTTCATCTGTAAAGTGGAGGCTGCTGAGTGGTGGTGGAAGAGAGAAAGAATATACAGAAATGTATCTGGTGAATGGAGGGCTCGTGAGAGATGTGGCTTGGTTTTTCCATCCTGTGTTTTTCATTTGCAAAACACTTCTGCATCTGATGTGGTCTTTGTTCTTTGAAGATCAAGGCTTTCTTGAGACCCGGTAGAGAAGGGACACTCCTGGTAAGGTGTAGTTTCCAGCTGAGGGCACCCGTCCTCAGGAAATGGCAGAAGCAACTGCTAACTGTGATCAGGTCTGTGAAAAAGCAGGATCCTCTGTCCAGCTCCGGGAGCCAGAGCAGAGGCCACAGATCCTCTTTCTCCTTTTCCTGTTTCTATTCGTGGCATAACTGCTCCAGAACCCAGCCTCAACCCCCTCCCCCGCCCCCATCTACCTATCCACCACCCCTACCCATCTGTCCACCCACTCATTCACCTGTCTGCCTCTTCACTCCTCCATCTATCCATCTACCTCTTACTCATCACCCCTTCCATCAATCTCTCCACCCATTCATCCACATACCCAGCCATCTATCCATTCATTCATCCATTCATCTATCTACCAATTCATTCCTCATCCCACAAATCAACTCACCCACCTACCCACCCACTTATCCAGTCATTTACCCACACTCCCGTCCATTCATCCGTCTACCCACTCACTCATCCATCCATCTGCGTTTCGCTTAGCCACCCACTCACCTCTCTAGCCACCCACCTTCCCACCCATGACAAGAAATAATTTTTGAGAGCCTTAAGGACCAGAAACTGAAGAACCTCTCAGAGTTACCCCTGTGACCTACTTCTTTTCTAATTAGTTCTTGTTTCTACAGCTTCTTGCTGTATGTTCTCTGGCCATGCCCACCTCATACCTAGATCCTGTCATGCCATATGACTTTCAGTTCCCCAAATGCACTCCTCTCCCTCTTGCATTTGATGTGTTGCTCACATTTTTCCACAGGCAGATGCTCCCCTCTGCTTGAACAGCCCTTCCTCCTTCTAAGCTTACCCCAACTGTCATTACTCAGCACAGGCTTTTCTGATTAGGTGAGGTCATCTCCAATAACTCCCTAAAATCCTATGCTTTTTACATGCATGAGCTCATTTCTTTTGTCTTGCCTGTTATAAATCTAAAGTAACTTGACTCTAGGGTCAGTATTGAGTGCAGTGCCTTCTCTGTAACAGAAACTAGCCGAGTATTGTATAAATGGAGACCTGGATGAATGAATGAACAGAGAGATGGATGGGTGGATGGATGGGTGGATGGATGGGTGTCTGAGTAAATGAGTGAGTTGTTGGATGGATAGGTGGATGATTGGAGAGCCATGGAAACAGGATATGAATGATGTGGTTAGATTTGTGTTTTGAAGGACAGCTTTGAGGTGGTAACATGGAGACAGGAAGTCCAACAAGATGCTGTTCCGCCTACTCAGGGTAGGGGGGAGACATCTTGACCAAACCCAACAAAACTAGGGTGCCCATAAGAAAGCCAAAGAGGAGATGGATATGGTGAATACTTAGGGGTTGAAAATGGTACAACTTAATGCTGGGGATGAAGATGAGGGAGGAACCTGAAGGCCAGGCACCCAACATCAGTGATGGGGCAGGTGGAGCACTCCTTCCAAGGACATATTAGAGGAGAAAATGGTGGACCCTGCATGGGCCTCACTGGGCATGTCCTACGAGGCAGCAGAAGCAGTTATGCAATGTCAGCCTGGGGAGGGTTCTGGGAGTCATCAGAGTATAATGGGATTGGAACCCTGGAGGAGATGCCATGCCACACAGAGTGGGCATGGAGTGAGTGTGTGTGGGAGAGATGCCCACAGCACCTACCAGACACTGCTGCACATGGCAGTGACCGGAGCATGTGGCATCCCTATCTTCTGAATTTGGAGGTTCCCTAAGGGTGCAGCCCCTTTCTTGTTTATCTCTCAGTCACTTGTGTCTAGCCTGGTGCTGTGGACATTGTACCTGCTCCATTAATACTTGTCCCATGAAACCCTGAAATTCTGGACTATTGGGGAAGCTGCTTCATTTCTCTGGACATCAGTTTCCTTGTCTAAAATGTGGACAATAACAGAGCTGCTGTGAAGATGAGACAAGAGGCCAGAAGAAAAATGTTCTGTAAATGGTAAAATAGTTTTGCAAATAAAAGATTACAGGCACTTGGACAGGTTCAGTCACTATTTCTTGAGCCCTGGAATCTGTCTGGAGATGCCCATTGGCTGACTTTCAGTTCTGCCCACAGCTCTGCTGGGTCTTAAGTTCCCTTGCAGCTGCTTCTGCTCCCCTGCCTTGGGAACTTGGGCAGGACATGTGTGTAGAAGCTGAGCCCAAGACCTTGACTCTCTCAGTGGCTTGCCTCTCAAAGTGTTGTCCACGGCCCAGCAGTTCAGCAGCATCCACGTCACCTAGGAGCTTCTTAAAATGTAAATTCTTGAGCCCTCCATCCCCGCCAGACCCACTGAGTCCGGAAAATGGAGAGCGGGGCTTTGTAATCTGTCTTAACAAAGCTCCTGGGGATTCCAGTGCACCAAGTTCAAGACCTACTTTTCTTTTTGCTCCAAAATGACCATAGGATGTGCTTTAATCTAAATGTAGTAAATGTTTCTTCTTGGCCCTGCAGACTCAAATATTTCTGACTTGGGTTGCCAGATTAAACTTACTACTGGCCTAGGAAAGAAGAAGCTACAAACCATCGCCCCGCCCCATCCTACACAGCCGTATAGTCACCACTCGTAAACAACAGACAAGAACCTGGTGACTCTCAGGGAATTTCCAAGACATGACAGGACATGTTCTCATGGTGGCTTCATTTGCCCTGTTTTGTTGGAGCCCGGGAGCCCGTGCTTTTGAATGGTCTGTATCTTCCTGCTGGTGAATTTTACTTGGGCTAGAGAACCCCAGGCAAACATGAACAGTTCTGAGTGGGTGCCCTCTGGGGACCATGCAGGAATCCAAGATGCCCTTGACATCTAAGGGATCTTGGTGAGTGATTGGCCCCACAGTGTGGCTTCAATTCTGACTTAGCCATCTGTGTGCATTTGAGGGTCCCAGTCCTCAACTGTTCCTTCTTCCTTTCCTTTCATCACCAAAACATGTAAAGGAAAGCAGATAAACAAACCAACAATGCCCATGTACACTGCCGATCCAAAATGGTGTATCCATCATGGAAAACAATATGGCGGTTCCTCAGAAATTCAACACAGAATTTCTATATGATCCAGCCATTCCAGTTCTGGGTGTGTACTCTAAAGAACTGAATGTGGGAACTTGAACAGGTCTTTGCACATCCATGTTCACACCAGTATTATTGCAAATACCCAGAAGGTGAAAACAACCCAAAATATTCTTGACAAATGAATAAATGAAAGTTGACACATGCATATAGGAGCATTTTATTCAGCCTTAAAAAGCAGGACATTCAGACACATGCTACCCATTATACTAAATTTAAAAAGCAAGACATAATAGGATAAATACTGAATGATTATGACAAAACATTTTATTCTACCTTATTAAAACTTATTTGTGTATTTGGCATCTTCTTTGTAAAACTCTCAACAATGGGAACTTTTCCCTAATTCAAATTGAGATTACTGTCTTTGACTCCCTTTTTGCTTTGGAAAAAAAACTATGCTGCTCATCTTCATATCTGTCATTCAATGTGGCCTTCATACTGATCACTAGGGCCAGGTGTCCTCATCTCCATTTTCCAGGTGAGGAAATGGTAGCTGGCCCTGGCCTGGTGCTCATGTCCTTCAATCCCTGATCCAAAACCTTTCCCAGGCTCCCCAGAGGAGAAGAGAGGTAGCAATTGCTGAGGAGCGCCCAGGAATGTGGGCTGGGTCCTGCAGGAAGCTTTTAATTCTTGCCAGAGCACAACAGGATGTGGACAAGGCTGCAGCTCCTCTGAGACTGTCTGTAGAGGCCCCCTCCAAGGAGAGGCTGTGGACTCAGAGTTAATGGACCCAATTAATGCAGCCCTATGAGCACATAGGAAAAATGTGAGTGATGCTCTTGCTCCAGCCAAGGGTGGCGGGGCCCTCACTGTTGTGTGTGGGTTGGAATGGATGTCTGCCTTGAGCCTCCCTTGGAGAGCTGGATTCAGGCTGGACTCATACTCCTCAGGTCTCCTGAACTTACTTGCTGCAAATAGAGACCAAAAAAACAAATAAAGGATAGGGAATATATATAAGGAAAGCCAGAGAAGGAATAAGGAGCCATAAGCCACATTCCAGAGTCTTTGTATGTGACCCATTTAGATATTCTATTTGCATTTGAGTTCGTTGGTAGAATCTATAAGTGGACCTATAAGAATCTATAATCTATAAGAATCTATATGGTGAATGTTTAAGTAAAAAATTTATTAAAGCAAATGAGACATTGCCAATTATCCCCCTCAAAAAAATTCCCCCTTCACTTCCATTACACTTATCCCATTGTTCTTACCACTTTCTGAAGCAGTTCTGGAAAATCCTCTTTCATGAGTGCCTTTACAAGATGTGATCAAAAACACAGTGACTGCTGTTGCCCAGTGCCATCCCGTGAGAAGGCTGGCTTGTAAAACATTAGGGTGTGTCCTGTCCTCATCATCGTATTCACTGGATCTTGCACCAAGCCACTTCTGGCTCTTCCCCAAAGTCAAAATGACCATGAAAGGTAAACATTTTGAATCAATTCAGCATACTGAGACAGCCACAATAACTCAACTAAAGACACTCTTGACAGGGGACTTCCAGACCTGCTTCAGAAAGTGGCAAGAACTACGGAATAATGTGTTCCAAGCAGGGGTGGGGGTGTTTCTTAAGGGAAACTAATGGCTATATATCTTTTACTATAATAGTTTTTTTTAAATTTTAAACATTTTCCATAGTTTTCAACCATACCTCACAAATGAAAGGACTACAACATACAGAACCATGCCTTAGACACAGTAGGTGCTATGTAAATGCTAGCGCTGATTATTCTAAGACTTTCCCACCTTTGACTTGCAGGGGCCCGCCCACAACCAGTGATGCCCTCCCCTTGATATAGCTTGAGCCACCTTCTGTAAACAAGATGGCGGTGGGGAGTCCCTGAGCCCATGAAGGGTGAGGCCCCTCCCAGACCAAAGATGGGGAACATCACTGCAGACAATGCCTCGCTGACCTGTACCATTGACCACACCATCCACCAGACGCTGGCCCCTGTGGTCTACATCACAGTGCTGGTGGTGGGCTTCCCGGCCAACTGCCTATCCCTCTACTTCGGCTACCTGCAGATCAAGGCCCGGAACGAGCTGGGCGTGTACCTGTGCAACCTGACCATGGCGGACCTCTTCTATATCTGCTCGCTCCCCTTTTGGCTGCAGTATGTGTTGCAGCACGACCACTGGTCCCATGGCGACCTGTCCTGCCAAGTGTGCGGCATCCTGCTGTACGAGAACATCTACATCAGCGTGGGTTTCCTCTGCTGCATCTCCATCGACCGCTACCTGGCTGTGGCGCATCCCTTCCGCTTCCACCAGTTTCGTACCCTGAAGGCAGCCGTGGGTGTTAGCGTAGTCATCTGGGCCAAGGAGCTACTGAGCAGCATCTTCTTCCTCATGCACCAGGAGGTCATTGAGGACAAATACCAGCACCGTGTCTGCTTCGAGCACTACCCCATCAAGGCCTGGCAGCGCAGCATCAACTACTACCGCTTCCTGGTGGGCTTCCTCTTCCCCCTGTGCCTGCTGCTGGCCTCCTACCGGGGCATCTTGCAGGCTGTGCGCCGGAGCCACGGCACCCAGAAGAGCCGCAAGGACCAGATCCAGCGGCTGGTGCTCAGCACTGTGGTTATCTTCCTGGCCTGCTTCCTGCCCTACCACGTGCTGCTGCTGGTGCGCAGTGTCTGGGAGGCCAGCTGCGAGTTCGCCAAGAGCATCTTCAATGCCTACCACTTCTCCCTGCTCCTCACCAGCTTCAACTGCGTCGCCGACCCCGTGCTGTACTGCTTCGTCAGTGAGACCACGCACAGGGACCTGGCGCGCCTCCGAGGGGCCTGCCTGGCCTTCCTCACCTGTGCCAGGACTGGCCGGGCGCGGGAAGCCTTCCCACTGGGTGCCCCTGAGGCCTCTGGAAAAAGCGGGGCCCAGGGCGAGGAGCCTGAGTTGTTAACTAAGCTCCATTCAGCCTTTCAGACCCCTAGCTCGCCTGGAGTGGGAGGGTCCCCTGTGGCCTAGCCTGGGTCACCCGCGTGTGGGGATAGGTGAGGCCTGAGCCTTCATCCCACTGGCCTTGTGGTCCTGAGCTTGCACCTGGTTGCCTCCTGCTTTGACCTGGCAGGTGCCTCTTCTGCTGGAGGGATGGATGGACTGGCTGCAGCTGGGCTTCTCTCGCCCGGGAGCCCTGCTCTAGCTTGGTGAGGCCAGCGGCACTGTCCAGGATAGAATGAGCATTGTCATTTCCTGGACATCCGCTGCTGCCAGCTGGGGCTGCTGGTGGGAGGGAGGCAGTGACCTGTCACTTCCAGGAAGTTTGCGAAGAGCAGCTGGGGTTGGGGTGTAGAGTTCCAGGACACGGAGGCTGGGGAATTGGAAGGTGAAGGCAGGGACCTGGGTGTTCACTTGCCACTGCCTTCCAGAGTCACTGTTGTCACAGATGATACCTGTGCAAATGTACGGCAGTTACCTGATGCTGTGACACATGAGGCTGTATTGTAGCCATTAACACTAGAAAGCCACTCTACAATGAGGTGGGCAGGGAAGACTGGATGGGGAGAAGGAAGGTGGAGGGATTTCCGGCACTGGGGTGGAAACAGGGACACTGGGGGAGTGTGGCAGGGAGAAACCCCATCTCCAGCCATGCCATGCTGTACAGGGAGAGATGAGAAGATCCCCCAGTCTGAAGGGTAATGGCAGACAAAGTCCAGGGCTCCTGGGGAGATGCCTGGGCCCTTTTGAACAATCACTTTGTCCTTAATCAAGTTCTTGACACATCTCTGCTACTTAGCTTTGTCTCCATCTGCCCAAAAGTGCCAGACATGGGAGTCTGGAGTGGGGACACACACACACACACACACACGCACGCACGCACGCACGCGCGCGCACACACACACACACACACAGGGAGAGAGAGAGAGAAATGCCAAGGTCTCCATGACAGCTGTGGCTGGGGATTTAGCTCAGTGGTTCTGCTGCCTTCCTCCATGACAGCTGTTTCCAAAACATTGAGGTTAGGGTCATGTCTTTTCGGGGCCCTGCTATACAGACCATAGAACATCTAGCATCTCAGAGAGGAGCACAGCATTATCCCAGGGTTCACTGATACACCCAGGCCAACAAAACCCATGCATGCATCCTGGCATCTTTCAGCCCACAGGTCTGGGCTTAAGCTCCACTCTGGCTTAAAGAGCTCCTGTGACCAAGATGCGAGGTGGCCTGGAACCCACCTTGCCTGTTTTCCATGCAGGCTCCTCTGCCTGATGTCCCACCTTACCTACCCGGAGATGACAGTGGATCCATGGCTATACGAAGCCCAGGACACAGACCACCAACTTTGTTCTGCCCTGGAAGGCTAGGTACAAGGCTTGTCTCTTGCAGCTTTTGTCCCTGGCCATGTTGAGGTGTCCCTCCCACCCTCAGGACACCCACAGGTTTCTCCTGTTCTGTTTTGCAGTAAGGCTTCCTGCTCCTTGAGTGCCACCTCCTCACAGTTCTCTGGAGAGCGGCAGAGAGTGCATGGGGTGCACCAGCCTCATCTGACTTGTTCAAATGAGGGACTTGGCTTTGTACTGTGCCAAGCACAGCCCTGGCCTGGTGAACATACCAAAGGCCAGAGGAGCCACTTGCTGCCCCAGAAGATCACCTTCATAGGAATGCTAGCCTTTCAGACTTTCTGTATGGGGGCTAGAGCCAGCTCTGACTTCGCAGGACATGCCCTCAAAGTCCTGGGATTTGAGTCCCTCCAGACCAAGAGCTAGGGAGGCTGAACGGTGGCCAGGGACTAGGGCAGGAAATAGAGAATAGGTAGTGGTTGGCATCAGTAGAATGTTTCTGAAATCTGCTGAGAGTGGGAGTTGGGAGGCCAGGCAGAACTTCATCTTCAATCTTCCTTCCCTCTTCTCATCAGCCTCTAAGAGGCTCATCCTTTAGTTGTGTCTTAATCCTTACATCAGAGGATCCCAGAAGCAGATAACCCAAGCTGGTATGCCCCAGGAAGGGTGCATACTGCAGTCCAAGGGCTACACTTGGCTGTGAAGCCCCACTCCAATTCCTTGTGGAATTGAGCCTCAAATGACCTAGAAGGTTCTCTTTTTTTTCCTGGAAGAAGAACCAGGATCTTGCTGGGGCAATAGCATTGGCTGAGCCTTCCTGTCTCTTCATTCTACAGTATTCCTCCCTATTTTGATCTTAAACACTGGCGTTCCTTCTGGCATGGATTGGGATGAGCTGGGAGCAGTTCTGTTTATTATGGAGAAGTGTATTTTTGTATTGTCCTATCTTTTACATCAAGTATACATGAGAAGTATTTGTGTGTTGGACTGTGCAATGGATTTATGTAGCAAACCTCCTTCTGCAAATAAAGGAAAGTAACCAGCCACAGTAGGGTGTGCTGCAGTCTTTCTTTCTTTTACCAGGGAGATCTAGAGGGTCCTTGAAACTCCCAAAGCCATCAGAAAAATCCCAGAATTGACCTTAGAGAAAACTCAGAGCAATTGGGGGATTTTCCCTTGACCATCCAACAAGTGATCAAGGACAGAGCCCCCCAGTGAAACAGGGTTCTCTCTCTTTCCTCATGCTAAGTGTCATCTAGTTGTTCACTATGTTGTTGCAAATCCACTCTGGGATTTATCTTGACCACCTCCCTTTTGAGAGCCTAGCCTGGTGGTTTTGAGAATGCTACTCCCTCTGTCTTTGGCCGCTTGACCCTTTGTACTTGTTGCATAGCTCCTCCCCAGAGCAAAGGGGACTCCATCAGACTATCCCCTCCTTACCAGAGCAGAGTCCCAAAGCAGAAAGACCCATTGCTTAATCTCTTTGGGGATTTCCTCAATGGTGGGGTGTTGTCTGGGGAAGCCCACATGTTGACCAGCCTCTTCAGGCTGGAGGATCTTCTCAATAGAGACAACAACATGTTTATAAACAAGTGTTTATCAGTAAGGATTAACTGCATCTCATTGAAATGTAAATTTGATTTTGGTCAGTTAATCCCCTTGGGTCAGGCTCCTGGAGTCCTGAAGTGTTCTGCAAGAGTAGATGCTTATTCTAAAACTAAGTAAGGACATTACTGGGGATTAAGGCTCCTTTCTTTCCTGAGGAATGGGTGGGAGGAAAAAGTCCATTTGGTTTGGACTGCAGGCAGCAGAAACCATTGAGATTCCTTTCTTATTCGCCAATATTGCTTAGTAAAGCAAGGGCTCATCATCCTGTCTATATGCACTGGCCCGTAGGTTGGCCAGAGAGGAGTGGGAGAAATCCAACACAAACACATCTTCGTCTGCTCTTTCCCTCCAGCTGATACAATGAAGAGAGAGCCAGAATCTGACCCTCTTGGATCCATGCCTTTTTGGAAAATCCACTTCTTGTAGGTGGTGATCCTGCAGCCTCCCTTCCTGGAATCTGTCTGGCAAGACAGTGGTCTTTGATGACATCAATCCTGGGGTCACAATGATGCTTAGTGCTCTGAGGAAATAGTGGGATTTCAATCCCATTTACTTTCATTCAACAACCACCAGGAGAATAGCGCAGGGCTAGACATTAGATATCAGCCCTGGAATATACCAGAAAGGTCATACTATTTAACCCCTTCACTCTGAAGTATCCCTTCCACATCTCTCAAAAATGATGGTCTAGTCTCTCCACAAACACCACCAATGGCAGAAGACTCACTACTATCCAACACAAGTCATTCCAGGGTTGGGCAGAAAATCTTACCTATTAACAAGCCAAAGTAGAACCACTTTATCCACTGGCCTTAATCATGGCAGCTGGAGCCATGTGACCCCTTAAGTACTGTTGTTTGAAGACTCTCATATCCCACTCTCTCATATCCCACTTTTTAGCACTCAACCTTCCAGGCTTGTATAGGCAAAGGTGGATTAGACCACAGATACAAATAAACCTTGCCCAAAGCACAGAGTCTTAAAACAAGGGGATCTAGGGTGTACCCCAGTGGTAGACTGTATATTTAGCATGAATATGACCATGAGTTCAATCCCAGCCCAAAAAACCAAAACCAAACCAAATCAAACCCAATGAAAGTTTCTCTTGTTCATTAGAGGGTGCTTTCTGGCAAATCTTTTCCCAAGGGATGGCAGTGATTCAGGATCCTTCCATGAAGAGCTCCCATCATCTTGGGGTCTTCCCATCCCACCCACACAGGTAGAAGAACCTCACACAAAAAGAACCTCACAGGGGTTTATGGCCAAGTCTGGAAGTGGTTGATATCCCTGTTACTCACACTTCACTGGCCAGATCATAGCCACATGGCCCCAACCTAACTGCAAGTGAGGCTGGGAAATGTAGTTTTGCTGTACATAAACAAGAAGAGGCAGAATTGTTAAGCATCTGGCCACTCTCTGACAAACGACTCTCCAAGACACCTCCACTTAACAGCTTTCGCTTTTCTGTACCTTCATTGGAACAAAATCTACTTCTTCCAATGTGCTACCGGGATCTGAGGATCTGAGGTGAGACTAAGTTTGCCTGGCCTGCTCTCAGGAAACGTGGGCCATTTTCCTTTCTCTTTACTCCTGGCAAGCATGTCATATAGCTGATGTATACTGAGTTTCAGCAAATTGCTGGTAAGTAACATCTTCTCCATCCTGCTATAGAGCAGTGAACTGCATCGTGGAGCCAGTGGAAGCTGCATGTAATGGGCGGGAAGTAGCAGATGCAATGGGCTGGACCAAATTGGGGCTAGGGGTCAGCGGGGCCCATGCAATGAGAACCAAGAAGTGACCTCAAAGGAATGGTTTTCCCAACTGAGCATTGAGGTCTCCCTTAGCCAGAGGAGCCCGGGGCCTAGCTGGCTCCCTTGGCTTCAAGTCCCACTTCCTGCATGCTCTGTATGGAGTACACTATCTCAATGTGCCCAAGGTGCTCTGCTTGCCCTTAAATAGCCACAGAGCACCCTGAATACTATTTACCAGGACTCCTTCCCCCAACATTCCTACAAATGCCTAGGGATGCTTATATGTCCTTCAGTTCCATCCTGGTCAGCCCCAGGCTCATCTCTCTGGGTGACTCCATTCCTCCTTGTAAATCACCTCTGGTTCCCATCACCAGCTTCTGCAGGCTACAGCCATGCTCATCATCCTATCCCGAACATGGACACTGTCCTTCCCCCATGCACAGGCACAGTGAGGACAAATTTGAGCAAAGGCAAGCAAAACTTTACAGGTCTGAGAAGAAGTCATTTTGTGGGGTGGAAAAGCTTTAAAACTGGATCCTGGAGAGCAGAGCTCCTGGGCCAGACCCTACTAAGAGGTCTTTTCCTGATCTTCCTTGTACCCCAGCCCCTGCTGCAGGGCCCCAGGCCTGCCTCTCCCTGCAGGGAGCCTCCAGATGCCTCACTGAGTCTAGGATCCCTATTCTCTATTCCAAGCCTTCTCTGGACTCAGCCAGATCTCAGTCTCTTTCCCAAACTTGCGAATCTCCCATGCAATTCCATAGCAAGGATAACCTATTACCGGGTTAGACCTCAAGCGGCTCTGCAGAATTCTGCTATCACTATGGCAAAACCAAAGGCTCATACATGTCCCCCCTCCCCATATGAGAAGAATGCTGGCGTCTTTTCCTTAGTGATGGCTTCTTTCTTGTTGCCATCAAGATTTCAAAAATGTCAGGATACCATCTTCCATCAAAGACCCCTGTGTCATGGAACTCTGGAGTCCCAAATCAGGGACCAAAAATTGTAATTGGAGGAGACCTGGTAAAGCTGCAGTTGGGCTCAATGAGCTGTGAGGTCACAAGTGGAGGGCTGGGTGCTCATTTACGAGGTGAAGCCTGGTGCCACCAATGCATGCACATGCTCTGCAGGTGGGAATGCCTGGCAGAGTGACAAGGGAGATCTGGGCAGAGGCCCCACCCCAACTACTGTACTTCTACCCAGGGGCTTCACCACACCCCTGTGAAGGGATAATTGGAAGTTAACTCCACAACCACTTAACTATACTTATACTTTTTTGGAGTGCACAATGTTATAGTTAATTTCTATACCATGTGTTCATTCTTCACAATGAATGCCCCTTAAAAGATCAAACTGGGGATGGGGATTTGGCTCAGTGGCTCCACACCTGCCTGGCAAGTGCAAGGTCCTGAGTTCGATCCCCCGTAGCCCCAAAACAAAACAAAAAACAAGTTCGATCCCGGTACCAAAAAAAAAAAATTAAACTAAATTGGGCATAGGGACCCACACCTGTAATCCCAGCTACTCAGGAGCCTGAAGCAGGAAGATTGCAAGTTCAAGGGGAGCCTTGGCAATTTAGCAAGGCTCTATCTCAAAATAAAATAAATATGGTTAGGAGTACAACTCAGTGGTAAAGGGATTGCCCAGCATGCTTGAGACCCTGGGTTCAATGCCCAGTGCCGCCAAAAAAGAAAAAAAATCCAATCAAATTAGACACAATTAGGGAAATGAAATAAAGTAATCCTGACAAACAGTAGAGCCCTAGCTGGGTCTACCCTATCCAGGTGAGTCAGTTGTCACTCAGCAAGACGTAAGAATGGAATAGGACCAGTGCTTCGGTTTCTGATCCTGTTGGAAAATGAACAGTGGGAGGTTGTGAAAGAGACTAGAACACACTGACTAGGAGGACTGTGTGCCAGCCAAAGTTCTGGTCAGTCCAATCCACCCTTGGGCTCCAGGGCTGCAGCTGCCCTTCTAGGTTGGGAGGTCAGAGCGTCCAGCTGGGGCTCCAGGTGAGTGGATGGGGAGGAGGTGGATGAAGTATGGGGGGTGGAGGAACCTGAAGGCCAGACAGGAGGAAGTGGTTGGAGAGATCATTTGCCTAAGTAAACAAAATGCTGTTTGAGAAAGAAGGCTTTTCAAAGGTATAAATATTTTGGTGGTGCTGAGTAAACCTTCCACAAAGCCCAAATGCTTGGTAAATACACATGCCACATCTGTGCATTTTACCCTTTCTTAATGAGCCTAGAGGATTATTCCTGGTCTTGGTGACACTTATTCTCATGCTCTGCCTACTGGTTAATTGTTCACCGGTGTCCCTATAAGTGATGGGCAAGAGGGTGGCCTGAATGAGCCAGCATGAAGGGGTTGAATGCCTCTACAACATCAGGTACAAAGCAAATATATTTGAAGCCCCAGAGAAATGTCCCTGGTCCACACCATCAGCCCTATTTGCCCTGTTTCCTTCCAGGAAGAGGGTATGCTGTTTCCAGGCCCCATGAATGTGTTGCTCACACACTCAGTGTTAATCTGCAAGGCTGCTATGAGAAGAAGCTGGGGGTCTCAGGGAGCTTCTGCCTAGATGCAGGCTTGGCCGTCACGTAGGAACTCTGCACATGCGTGACACAGTTGGTCACACGTGCCCCGTGGTGATGTCCATCAACTTCTGGATCATCACAGCATGGACACCAGGGAAGGGCAGCCCATCTACCTCCATGCCCATGATTCCTGAGACTGCACTTTGGACCTTGTGCTGTACCAGGATGCCCAACATTTTTTCTTCCTGGAAAAATCAAATGAAGCAGAGGTAGAAGTTGTGGAGGGGGAAGAAAAAGCAAGAAATGCATATATCTGCAAGTGGAGAAAGAGCCTTTGACTTGATGTGTCTCTTTGAAAAATAAAGTTTTCTTGTCATCCCAGCTACTCAGGAGGCTGAGGTAGGAGGATTACAAGTTCAAACCTAGCCTGGGTAATTTAGCAAGACACAGTTTCAAGAGAAAATTTAAGAAAAAGGGGGCAGGATGTAGCTCAGCAATTGCTTAGCGTGCACAAAGCCCTTGGTTCAATCCCCAGTATTAAATTTTTTAAATTAAAAATGCTCATGTCACTACAGGTTTATGATGAAAAATAAATCCATATCATGCCTCATGGGCGCCCAAACCCACTCCCCAGAAGTCCCCACTTGCACAGGTCAGGCTGTTCTTCAGGTGGTCATCTTCAGGTCACCAAATCCTGTGCTCTTGTGGAGACCTGCGTTTTCTTGCAAACACTAAAGATTCATCCTCCAGCAGGGGCTCCATGGCCCCATCCTGCCAACCAGCCCAGCCCTGCCCAATGATCCACTGGAGGCCTGAGTGAGCCAGAGGTCCCTATTCCCCCACACCCCACCCTCAGCCTCCTACAGCACAGGCGACAAATCCTGCTGCTGTTGCTGTCTAGGGTGGAAGAGGGAGCAGCTGGAGGGAGCAGAGCTGTGGAGAAAACACAGTCCAGGGCCCAGAAGCAGCATGGCTTTGGGACCAGACAGATCCAATGTGGGTCTTTCCTGGCAGGGGCTTTGACAGAGAGCTGCGTCTTCGGGTACTTACCTGTAAAATGGGGATGATGCCAATGATCAGAGTAATGGCCTCTTCAGAAGCTGCTGTAAAGATTAAATGAGATCATGGAAGTAGAGCATCTAGCATGGCCCTTGGTACACAGTAGGTGCTCACAAAAGGAGGCTGATTATTAAAGGCAGGGCTTGGGCTCGGGCCTTTCTTCCTTTGACTCACTTGGTGGTTAAGGGGAAAAAAGGTTTGATCCTCGATCTCCCCCTTTCCCATTCTCTCCAAAAATAAGGTCCGCAAGAATTAGCTGTCTAAGCCACTAATGTGTCTGTCCTTGGCCACACAGCTCAGGTCTCTCTGAGGAAGGTGGGTCTCAGAAGGCATCAGGCAGGAGGGGCAGAGGTCAACACCTTCCTCCCTCCCTCCTCCACAGGCAGAGGCAGAGGGGAGACGGGAGACCAGAGGACGTCAGTGCTGGTGTGAAAGGCTCGCACCTGCCTGCTCAGGCATGCTCTCATCTATTCCATTAGCTATCGGTTTTATTGAGCACCCATCTGGGGCCTGGTCCTGACCCAGAGATACCAGAGTGAGTGTGACCCAGCCCTGCCCCAGGGGGTTCCCAGCTAGATGAGTAACAGGGCAGTCACAGCACGTGTGTGGGGGGGTGTCACAGCACAGAGCGGGGACACCCAATCCAGCTTATTATGGTGGCCCAGGGAAGACTTCATGGAAGAGAAGTTTATGGACTGAATGTTTGTGTTCTCCAAAATCAGTACATTGAATCCCTAATCCTCAATGTAATGGGATTTGAAACTGGGGCCTTAGGGAGGTAATGATGTTAAGATGAGGTCATGAAGGTGGGGCCTTCATGACGGAATTAGTGCCCTTCTAAGAAGAGGGACTAGAGCTCCTCTATCTCCACTACACCAGCACACAGTGAGAAGGCAGTCATCAGCAAGCCGGGAAGACAGCCCTTACCAGAGAATTAAACCTTCTGGGGTGAGTGGCTGGGGAGGAGGTGGACAAAGTATCAGGGATGAAGGGACATGAAGGCCAGAGAGGAGGTAATGGTTGGAGTCAACCTTGATGTTGGGCTTCCCAAACTGTAGAACTGTGAAGACCAAAAGGCATGTAAGCCACTACAGTCTACTGTGCTTTGTTCCAGCTTCCTGAGATGACTAAGATGAGGGGTGAAAAGGGTCAGAGGTAATGAAAGAGCAGGAATGAGCCCAGTGAGGGGCCTTGAGAGCACTCATGAAAACTCTAAAATAATGAGTAAAGGGTTGGCAAGTGTTGGCAACTGTCACCTCGGAACAGCTGGCCAGGGCCAGGGTGGATGTTCTCTTGTAGAGGGAGGCCCAAGGGCATTTCCACTTTTCCACATGAGCTCATTGTTCAACAGCCCCTTTCCTGGGGCTGCCCAGCCCAGAATGGAATTTCCCACCCTTTGTCTGGACTTTATTCCCCCACTTCTCTTTCCCATTGGTCACATCCTCTCTTTGTGGGAGAATGCATCTCAGACTGTTGGACCATTTTCTCCAAGTCTTCGGCCTGCCCTCAACATCCTCCTCCTCCTGGCACCCAGGGGGAACACAGGGAGGGCCTGGGGGTCCGCAGGGGGCCTGTGACCAGCCAGCAGGCTAGGAACTGGCTGCCACTCAGCCTCTAAGAGCTCACAGACCAGCTGGGCTAACAGCTACTCCCTGCACATTTCCAGGAATTGCTGAATGGCCACCTCATCTTCTAAGAAGCCATGTAGGGGCGGTGATGGGAAAGAAGGGTTGAGGCAGGAGCAGCTGCCTGGTCCAGGCTGAGAGAGGCAGTGGGGCAGGAGAGCGGGACAGAAGATGACCAGAGTAAGACTATGTGGACAGGAACTGGGGCCTGATTTGATGTGCATGGAGAAAGAGGCCCCAGGGAGACTTGTGGGCTTAGAGGCTGAATGGGGTACCTGCTATTAATTCTTAGTGGAGCACACTGGGCTGGTATTTATGGGATGTGATGCTGCTTTAAAGTGTGGTGAAAAGCTGGGTGTGCACTTACAGTCCCAGCTACTTGGGAGGCTGAGGAGGGAGGATTGCTCAAGCTCAGGAGTTCGAGACCACTGTGGGCAACATAGTGAGACTCGGTCTTAGCAAATCACAACAAAACAAAATTGTTATGTCATATCTAGATGTCTCCCCAAGGCCTCATGCTTTCATAGATGGGGCTTTTGGGAATGACCTGATTATGGGTATGCGCTATTGGATTAGTCTGAATGGTTTAGCATAGTTCTGGACTTACTGAGGAGGGAAGACCCAGCATAGATGTGGGTGGTACCAACCAATAGGCTTGGAGTACGGATGGAATTAAAAAGGAAAGAAGAAGGACCCGGCATGAATTGTTTCTCCTCGGTCATGCCTTTCTGCCATGCCACCTTGCTTTGCAGCTATGGACTGAAACCTCTACAAACTATGAACTAAAACAAACCTTTCCTCCTTTAACTTGTGGGTGTTGGGTATTTTATCCCAGCAATGAGAAAGTAACCAAGACAAAAGTGGAGTGGATAAGGGGCCTCCTGGAAAGTCAGGACTGTTCTGCATCTTGATCTTAGTGGCAGCTGCATGGGTGCATGTGTCTCAGTCACTTTCTCCTTACAGAGGTCCACTACTTAAAGGAGGAAGGTTTATTTTGGCTCACGTTTTTTAGAGGTGGCTGGCTCCAGGGCAGAAGCAGCACCGAGGCAGGACCTGCCTAGCACGAGAGGGGCACTGGGTTCAATCCCCAGAAAACACACACACACACAAATTATTCCTGCCCTGAACATTTACCAACTTTTCCTTGTCACTCTTCCCTGAACGAGACAGTATAACAATCATTTGCATTGCGCTAGGTATTACTTGTCACCTAGAGATGATTTAAAATGCTCAGGGGCTGGGGATTTAGCTCAGTGGTGCCACACCTGCCTCGAAAGTGTAAGGTCCCTGGTATGACAAAAACAAAACCAAACCACCAAAACTAAAATGCACAAGAGGGTTGTGAGGGTCACAAGTAAACACTACCCCATTTCATACAAGGGTCTTGAGCATCACAGATTTTGGTTCCCTATGGATACTGAGGGACAAGGGTAGCAGAGAAAGAGAAACTGACTAGATGATGACCAGGCAGAGCCGGTCTGACTGGCCCCAGCTGTAGTCCCCCTCTGGCTGAGGGACAGTGGCTCCACCCTCATCCTTGGAGGTCCCCAGTTCCTCCCAGGCCTCCAGTCCCTGCCCAGAGCTCTGTTGTCCTGTCCCCCACAGCACCTCTGTCCCCAAGGTGAGGAAATATGTAGCTCTGCTGGGTCCTTGCATGCCTGACCCTGCAGAACCACTGACAAAAGGCATCTGACAGCTCTTGGCCTCTGGCTGGCAGTCCTGTCCCCTGTCCTCCCCACCCCATGCCTGCCAGTATTTTCTCTGCACTCAAGAAAAACCCGAGCCCTCACTGGGAGGAGCTCTTGGGCTGAGGGTCACAGTGGGCAGGGTGTGCCCTAAATAGTGGTGGCCACCCCTGCCAGTCACCATCAGACTCCTGATGTCTCCTGTCTGTGAATAGAGGAGGCTTTGCTTACAGGAAACTCAGAGCAGAGGGGGGGGACCCTGCTCTGCCCAACCGATCAAGCTTTGTCACCACCTCAGGCCACGGCTCTACTCAGCACCTCTGATGACTCAGGGAGCCCCATGGAGAGACTTACTGAACTCTAGCGTGCCGATTCTGGTTACCCCCCCGCTGCACACCACACTGTTTCTTGTCTCTGCACCTTTGCTTTGTGGGACCTGAGTCCTGGAAGCCCTTCCCACCCTTCCTTCCTGGCTCACCCCTCATCCTCCCAAGCCCCAGCTCAGGGCCACCTCCTCCAGGCACCCTTTTCTGAATGAGCTCACTACTTGCAGGGCACACTCCATCCTGGTTTCTAAAGTGTCCTGCCCTGTGTTGCTCCCCTGTGGTCCTCAAGTTCCCTGTCTGACTCCTCACTGTCACCAGAGCAGCCTGTGCCTGGCTTAAGGAGGGGTCAACTCACATCCTTCTGCTTAAAAAACCTGCCCTTCTAGTCCCCTTCTGAGGGTGCTGCGCTGTTCCTGTACTAATGAAGGATTGGGTGGAAATGTGAAAAGAGAACTTTCTGTCCCTGGAGGGTGCCGAAGGGCTGCATGGACTTGTCTGGGTGGGGCTCGTGCTTTGGTGTCTGTGTGAGTCAGGAATCATGTGAGAGGCA